CAGCGGCGGGTGGTAATTTGGGTAGTATTTCGGCGTGAAGATCCGAAGCAGGGTGTCGAAGCCTGTGAGGTGGATTTGTTCGACGACCTCGCCATTTTCTCCCGGGCTGGAGGACGCAGATGAAGGGTTGTAGCCCGGGGGACGGTAGATGCCGCATGAATCGATCGCGGTGGCCTTATCGACGAAATAAGGCTCCTTCGTGATGCCAATGTCGATTATCGGGGCCGGTATATCTGGGTCACCAGTAGTCGATTGTGCGGACCCTGCCAAAGCAGATCTAGAGGTGAAGTTGGAACGTAGATCTTCGGCCGCCAATGTCATCATAACAAGACGATCCTCGAAGTCGGCGGGCTTGGGCTTTTTATCTGCGTTCACGGTGGCCAGCAAAAACAGGACTCTCGGAATCTGGTCTCTGGTCACCGGGCTCGAATCTCGTCGCGATTTCAACGCCGTTTTCACCAAGCTTGTATGCGCCTTTGAAGGTGGATTGAAACTCGAGTCTAGAAGGTAGAGAGTGCGTGTGACAATCGGATTTGACGGGGTTGGCGTCGCGGTAGGTCGCGGGATTGAGTGTAGAATTCGGAATGAAGACGACGAAGAAGCAAAGTCCTTCAGTGCTTGAGAGAATTGAGCTCTGAGGCGTTGCAGGGCTTGCATGTCCAGATCTGGTGGGGACATGATATGTATTCTTATTTTCCCGTTGTAACTTGTGCACCTGTTACCTTCAAGTTCCAGTTCTGGGAAGATGTCGATGTATGCGGAGGTTCCAGAATGCTGGCTCGACAGGTAGGGGAAAACAAAGTCCGGGGAATAGTTCCGGACTTTCCCCACGGCGAATAATAGTATCACAGGTTGGCTGGGGGTCTAAACCTCTCGATCTAGAACTGAACCTCGTGCTTGAACATGGAAAAACGCAGGAGTGATAGAGGTTGCGTTTCGATTCGGAAGAGCCCAATGACGCCATTGGTCTGGTTTTCAGCCTCGCCGGGCCCTGCACAAGGCTCGCCGCCCCGGCCAATCCCGAGTATCACGTGAAGACAATGTTTGCTTGGCAGGCTTGGCATCTTCACCCAATGCAGTACTAGCCGCTGTTAACCCGCCCAGCCCGTCCTGACCCTGACCCTCGCCTCTTTCGGCCCTTCCCTCGCGAATCTCTCTTCCCACGCACGACCGACCTCCACTTGACTGCCATCCAGTTCGCCCGCCGCATGCTCGCGCTCAAGCTCATCCTCAGAATGCTCTGTCAATATGGGTGTCGGACCCACTGGCCTTCGAAGAGGTACAATGTGCTCCGTCCAGACTCTGGTGTATCCAAGTACCCACAAGCTTCAACCTTCCAAATTGCCTAATCTTTGGCGTGACTGTTTTAGATTTATCACCACAGCCACAGCCACATGTTCTGTACTACCCAGTCCCCCAACTCCCCCCAGGCCTGGAAGGCAGCTAAGTCACACGTGGATCCAAAGCCTTGGAAGCCTAGTTGAATTGGACCAAATATCAGTCCAATGACCAGGGCCAGGCCAGGCTTTGACTTGCCAAACCGGTGTGACGGATCCACTTCCGATCGGGCGCGTTGCTAGCCGTGGCCCAGGCCGGCAGACCACGAGCCAGCCCTTCTGGAAAATGACACCATCTCCCGAGTACACAGGTGCTGCTCCTTTACTCCAGATATGGAAACTGGTCGCAAGGCACACACGGTGGCGTTCTGCGGGCGTCTAACGCGCATCAACTTGACCAAATCAGCATCCGGTAGGGAGAAACACGCTTCACACCAAAGCATGGCCACGGTCACGGAGGTTCTCGCTCAGCCTGAGGAAAGACACTGCGGCGAACGCCTCACTTTGACCTTCTAGTCCATTGACTCCCCCCGTGCCAACTTTCTTCAGAGCTGGTTCTCCTATAATACAGGTGTCTGCCCCTCATTCGTGGCCATCGTTTCTGCCTGACGGCGCCCTTTTGCCTGTTCCATTTGACTTGCATGCTGTGTCCTCGTCTCCAGTTGCGCAAAGCCATATTCGACACTCCGCAGAGAGGGCAACCTTGCCAGCATTTTGCCTGAGATTGCGTATCTGCATATTCGAGCCACCGAGTCCTCTATTATGGCGCCACACGGTGCGAGTGACATAGAGATGACGGACCTACGATCTCGAAGCCCGTCGCACGACGGCGACGAACTGCCGCAGACGAGACCTGCTGCACACGCCCCTCTGCTCGGTACCTATGATGTGTTCAGTCTCATTGTTAACAAAATGATTGGCACCGGCATATACACCAACGTGTCCACCGTGTTAGTCCTCACCGGCGACAAGGGCCTTACTATGACGCTGTGGGCGATAGGCTCGATTTACACATTAATTAGGTGAGCAAACCCTTAAAGACGAGGATAAGAAGTATGATTCACACGTTGATTCGTGACCAGCATGTTGATCTACCTGGAATGTTCCACCGTCATGCCGTACAACGGCGGAGAACTTGTATATGTATGTAAGACTCGTGATTATACCCCAGAGGATCTATTTGTTTTGTATTTTGTGCTGTGGCTGACAAACAAGTCTGCAGCTCGATGAACTTACATCCGGCCGAGAACGATCATGGCTCAAATGGGCCCTAGGAGACGGCCTTTATGCATACGTGCAGTATGCATTCTTATTTGTCGCATTCTTCAATTCGGCCACCAACTGCCTGCAAATCGGTCGGCTCCTACTGTTCGCGAGAAACCCACAAGAGGATCCAGATCGAGATTTCTTACGCGTGATTGCATTCCTCGTCCTCCTGCTGCTGTGTCTTTTGCAATACTTCTCGCCTCAGTCGGGCCGTATGCTCAACCAAATTTTGGCAGGCGTCAAAATCTTGTTGCTGTTAGTTGTGCTCTTTGCAGGCTGGCACGCGATACAGGTTGGGACGTACCAGGGGGCAGGTTTCCAAGAATGTGGCCCGCCGTCAGGAACCATGTCGAAGATTCAAGTCGCAAAAGCATTTCTCCTGGTGATATTTTCCTACGAAGGATGGGAGAATGCAACATTTGTTGCTGGCGAGATTGACCCACAGAGACCAGTGACCCTTCGCAAAGGGTTCATTCTCGCCGTCTCCGTCGTCAGCATCTTGTACATCGCTCTGGTCGCCACCTTTCTCAAGGCCATCCCGTTTGTCCCTGTTGCAATCAACTACACACCAATGCTTTTCGGCAATAACGAGGCGGCATACAAGGCATGGTCGGTTTTCATTGCCATCTCTTCTCTGGGCAGCCTCAACTCGATCATATACACATTCTCGCGCATCAAGCAAAGCATTGGGTCGGGTAATATTCTTCCATGGTCGGATTTCTGGAAGAGCGACTCGCCATCTGCGGGGCACGAGGAAGCTCTGGACCAGTATCTCGCGCCGAGAGGAGGCCTCATACTCCATGGCATCATGACTACTGCCCTCATTGGCGCATCGGCATCAATCAAAACACTCCTAGAGTCAGTCAGCATGCCGGGCATGCTCCAGACGTACGCACACTGCTTCATCCTGACGGTCATGGGCTTTGTCGTTCTCAGACTTCCGTCGAGGACAAGGCACCTCGAGCAAGTCAACAGCAGGGACCATAACAGCGAAACAGGAATGGATGTGCTTGGAGGGAGTAACGGGTGGGAATGGGATCTGAAATTGAGAAACTGCCGGGGGTGGTGGCGATTCGTGCCAGCATTCTTCTGCATTGTGTATGGGTTGGCGAATCTGTGGGTTGTCATCCTCAGCGTCATACCTCCTTACCGTGATCAAGACGGATTTCCGACGGAAGGGGTTTGGAGCAACTCGACTGACGGCAAGACCTTGACCTGCACGGACTCTGGCTCCCGCGTGAATCTGACATTCCCTTACCCTGTTGCTCTCGATGAGGAGGATGCGCTACAAGGCTGGATCCTTCCCGCCACGACTTTCGGGGTCATGCTCCTCGCAACTTGCTATTATCTTGCGGTCTTTGGCTCGAGCCAAGAGCCGCCTTTCTGGCGGTGGTGTCTGACTCAATATGCTGGCGTCCGCCCGATGATCCACAAATGGGAAGGGTACGACTGGCGCTTGGAACAAGTCCGACGGTTTGGAAGAAGGCGCGACATCGCATTCAACAGGAGAGACGAGAATTCCGAGGTGGGAATCCTGTACTGGCTAGGAGGCGGATCAAGTTTGTTCGTGAACAATAGTGGGAGCCACCCGGTGGAACGCTGGCACGACTACAGCCACAGATTGGGGGATGCATGGCAGGCATTTCACAAACGGTATCTGAGGCGGAGGCGCAGTCTATGAACGGGCGTTTGGAAGATGAAATTAATGATTGTACAGAATACAGATAAGCAAGCAAGTCGACAGATAATAATGAGCACCGCCCATTCCGCCTCATCAGCCATTCGGATGCTATATCACTGGCAATGATTCCATCATCCAGATTAATACAAGTCACCCGCCAATTTTGTAGGAGGCGTCGACCGATGCGGAACACGGCCAAGCACGGCTCAGCTGAGCCTCACTACTTGTGTAGCTAGTGCCTTCGCGGCGCCTTCTGCCCGGGACTAAGGGGCCCTGCACGCAAACCAGACAGTTGGCGTCGATAGTGACGGGAGTTGGGAAGCTAGTGTAACCGATGGCCGCGAACCTGTCGTCCAGTCGATACCCTGTCACCAGTCACGCTGCCTCAAAAGGCGATTGTGGCGGGGGATGCGCTGGCAGGTGTAGATAGGGAGGGAAACCCTGAGAGTCATACACGTTTGTTCTTAAAGGGTGCGTGCGTGGGTGGTTCATGGCTGGGTGGGCAGATGGATGATCGGGCTATGTATGTATATTCGACCCATGTATCCCTCATTCTGCATCTGCCTCTGCATCTCGATGTCGAATCGCTTCCCATCCTATCCTAGATCTCCTTATATGTCCTGATGCGTGTTGCCAGCAGCAGTGGCCGGTCCATAGCGTCCAACCACAGATCATCCCTCGCTTTCGGCCCTTGAGGCCCCCCAACGGAGTCGGAGATGGACCAAGTCAGCCTGGTCAAGTACAACATCAGTGCGTCTGCACTGGTGGCATATCTGGACGGCATCTTTGGGCGAAACAAATACCTCTGGAGAGTAAGTTAGCTCTGTCGTCGATTGTACTACAGCCTTCCCCCGTCCACCGTCTCATTGATACCGAGACTGATGTGGGTTTCATCAGCCCATCAAGGTCGGGGCAAGCACCATGTACGAGGTCACGGCGACGAGGAAGTTGTCGGTTACTGAGCACGGCGAGATCAAACAGCGCTCGGGAGTAACGCTGGTCGATGCGTGGTGAAACTCCCCTCGTTCACCGAGCCGTGGAAAGGAGGAGCGTTTTAGGCGGCGGTGTATTTCCTGGAAGGGGAGGAGGCGCTTATAGCTGTTAATTAAACGAAATAAGTGGTTGAATGGCTTACTTCGTACCAGGTACTCAAAGGGATTTGGATTTTGTTTCCCTGTAGTACCTAAGTCGTATGCCCAGTAGCCCGGTCCAGACGAGATTCAGCCTTGCCATCTGCCCCGGCCGCAGCCCACCAGCCCGAGCCTGTTCCCCGTTCAATCCCCCGCCAACTGCCAGCCGCTGCTTTCAATTATATGTCTTCTTACTATTTTGATATTTATCTCTATCCTTTGCAGTGTCTTCGCCTCCACGTATTATAGATTCGTTCTAGAGCCCCTTTTTCAATCTCCTCTCCCACCCCCACAGTGGTCTCGAGACCAGTAGTGGTGGAAAACAACGATGGGCGAGAAACTTCTACCTTGGCCTGAAGCACATGTCTCCCCTTCAACGCTGGCGTTGCAGCAACCGATCGAGGAAGCCCAGAGTGCCTTTGACAAGGCGGCCCCGCGAATCTTCAGCCCAGCCACCTCGGGGTATTTTCGCGTCCAGGTGGGAGAGGTCGACGACACAGGTACGTGCGCTCAAGCACATATGTAACAGATACGGAAATGGCTATGGCTTTGGGTACTGGTCTTGGTCACTTGCTTGCACGCAGATAGGCAGAACTGACGGCCATGTGTCTTGTCACAACACAGGGCTCAGAAGCTGCGTGCTCGAGAATGACTGCGCGGTGGCTGAATACCTCAATGTGAGTTTGCAGCCACCCCCTCCTCCGTGGCGGGAATGCAATGGAGACAGGGACTTACAACGGGTGTCAAAAGACTTCACACGACATCGACAAGACCGAGAGCCCTGTTTCCTTCCCCGGGGCCGTGCCATCATCGCCGAAATCTACATTCTTGTACGTCCATCCGGCCAGTATCATGGAATGGAAGAAACAGGCCCCCCCCCCCCTCCACCAACGCTGACACCCCGTTTTAATAGTCTCCTGAATCCCACGTTCGGCTGGGGACGGCTGATGCTGTCGGAGACGAGCATGCGCTCCATACTGCGACATGTCCACGCGTTTCCCGCCTTCCTGAAACATTTGACCGCGTTCGGCGAGAAAGGGTTTGCTCGAGACGAAGGCTTCGCCGCATATGACATCCAGGAGCACTTCAACGGCCTTCACGAACGTCAGGGCCTAGGTAGGTAAACCAGCCAACGAGAGACTGGGAGGAGAGAAGGAGGATATCAAAATACTGATTCTTGGGTGTTCGTGCTAGAAACTTGCTTTCTGTGGAAGTATATACAGCATGATGACGGGACTGCCCAACACCCATGGACCATTCGTCAGGCCCTCGTCTATCAGAACTTCTCGTGCACAACGCAGACGAGCACAAATATACTCATCAGGGCGCCTCTCCAGGTGACGAATCTCCTGAAGCACAATTTCAACACCTCTGCAGAGTCTCGAGCATCGACAGTGGCAGAGTGGCTGGGAGTGCAAAAGGTCTGCATATCGTGCGGGACAGAGGAGTGGCGGCAGGCTTTAAACTATTATGACGAGCAGATAACCAAGCTGGTGAGTGTTTCCCGGCCCCCAGACCAGAGTTGTGTGGCGTTGATGATTGGGTTGTAAGTTCGATGAGCTGGTTATGTTTTCAATCGAGACCGAGACGGCCGGCGATTCCAAAAAGGTTCAACAATGCGTAAGTTCCATGAAGGAACTTACGCACCTCGTAGACCAGCTGTTGAGAATATCGCACATGCTGGGCCTGAACTCTAGGATCATACACTCCATGATGGACGCCGCGCGCAGGTACGAGAGTGCAGAGCGTCGCGATGCGTTTCTTATCTTCGCCGAAACCGTGCAGCTTCAGTATGACTTTCTCCGACAATTGACAGAGTCATTGTTGGCGCGTGGAAACAACTTGTCACGCCAGGTTGGTGGACGTCCCCAGTCGCATCTGCTCTGGACCTACCGCTGAAGATTAGAAGTTGCGGGATATCATTGCTTTCCGAAACTCGGAGCTCAACAACAGAATCGCAAATGCGACAAGCACTAGCACAGGGGCAGTGGTAGAACTTACGCTGAAAAGCTCTCACGAAGCCCGTATAGTCAAGGTGCTCACAGTGGTGGCCTTGATATACGTGCCCGCCTCATTCGCTGCTGTAGGATTCTCTCAATCCTCCGGGTGTGTTGTTTGTCTCGCTAACCCAGAACCAGGACTTTTTGCAGATGGGTTACGTCTCGGTGGACGAAGACAGAAATTTCCACATCGTGGCAAGCATGGACGTGTGGCTCTGGGTCATTATAGCCTTCCCACTGATCCTACTCGCTCTCTCGGTCCTGTTTATCTGCGAAATTCTGGGAAGGAGGAAAGTCGGCAGGGCAGCGAATCCAAACACAACCGTCTTCACTAACATCGTCTGACCATGCCTCTTGCGGACGGTCAGAGAGAGAGCAGCTAACTCCTGCTTGTGGAACTGCGGCTTCGGTCAGAGATACGTCTCGGGCCTGCGGCAGGATCGATCCAGGATATCTTCTCCCCGCCATCCCGTGCTGCTTGAATGAGGGCCTCAATGTCTGAGACAACTGTAGGACTCTAGTTAGCTCTGGAACGCTCCCCCTGAACTGAAGGGATCTCGCCTTCTTCATATTTCGTCTCAAGTCTCACTTCCCAAGTGTTATTGTCCCCCAGCCTGTAAGCATTGCCCACAGGATAGTGTGCCGATCCAATCGGCAACAGAAGATGACGATCCATCCCGCTCTCGAGCTTTTCCACGTATGTGAAGAACTTCTCCCTGGAGAGACCGCGGAATGTCATCACGGTAGTAGCGCCTCGACGTTCCACTTCTACTTTGCCCAGGCGTGATTTGAGCGGTATTTGCAAGACCGCCGCAGGGTCATGGAAGAATATCATGAGCCTGAGCCCGATATCACGCTGAGGTCCATGTCTCCCATCCACGTAAGTCAGTCGTCGTGCTTTCCACTTTTGAACTGAAATCCAGTTTTGAACCGAAGTCGCCTCAATACCGTCCCGAATTTTTGACAGGTCTCTGGGGAACTCTCGCCTCGCCGAGACGGTGACAGGGTGCCTCAAGCTGTAGCATTGCCGCATCTCATCTTGAGGCCCGCCGCCGACGATGCCAAACGATTGAGGAATATACTGGACGATGGCCGCGTGGAAGTCGACCAATCCACTTTCAAAGTACAAGTCTATCCCAAACCCGTCAGCGCCCAGCCTCAAAATTCGACAGTGACCACGGTCTCCGCCATCAAGAAGCGCTGAATGAATCAATCGAACTTCTTCCTCGGGTAACCTTTTGGACACGATCTCCAGTTTGAAGGCTCTCTTGAACCAGATCTTTATCCAAAACCCACCCTTCTGGTGAAACAGTCTCAGTCTGCATGGGAGTCCCGCATTCTGAGGAGAATCAAGACCTGCAATGCGAACACCTTCCAATGCTACGAAAGAGGTGCCGTTTGTATCCATTGCAACCTCGACATAGCTTTTAGGGATGTCTCGAAGATCGTCGTTGTTGGCCGCCAGAAGTACACCGCTTGGGTCGTTCCTCGCTGCTAGATAATCATTCACAAGCACCGTAAGGCGCTCCGCGACTTCACTAGACGTAGGTCGGCCGGATGGATTGATTTCGAACATTTGGGACATTGTCGTAACAAGCCCTTCCATGTACGTGTGTAAAGCTGGCGATTCGATACTCAAGCTGTAAGCCAAGATCTTGTCAAGTTGCGTGGCCACCGCCGGATTGAGCTCCGGTCCGTCCATTCCGTCGATGTGATATGGGGTCACTTCGCTTCCAGGAACACGGATTCTGCGATCCTCGTCGAACCTTACCACGGATTCAACTTTACCAAGGCATAGATAGGTGTATAATTGGACCATGATGCAAGCTAGAGACCAGATGTCATATTTGAAGAGATCGCGAGAGCCAGGGCGCCCATTTGTCGTAGGGCTGGTATGGCTCGCATAACGAGATTCGACGAGGTGACGAGTCGGCATCGACTCAGGAGGAGCGTATTCCGGATCCCCTCCACGATAGCCATCCTCTCCGTGTTGGTCTATTCCAATGCGGACAACCTTAATAAGCGCTTGGCCAAAGTCAGTAATTTTGAATATCCCGTCCCAGGTGATGAGGACGTTCCTCGGTTTGAGATCAAAGTGAAACCCAACGATTTCCCTGTCATTACCCACGGCAATTTGCGGATGGTGAATTGTGCACAAGCCTTGAGCCATGCCTCTAACACCTGAACTGATCCAATCGTCAGGAAATTGTTTGTGGGTGTCATAATTTCGTGGAAGCTGACCATGATACAGTAAATCATGGAGGTTCAGCTCCACATAAGGAAAGAGCATGTTGATTTCGTCTCCAAAAGTGTAGAAAGCAATCAAATCTATCAAGTTTGCTTTGCCTTCTTTCTGCTGACGGATCACATCGAGAAAGTCTCGCTCCATTTGAACGGAGTTTTCAAGGGTTTGTCCCCTTATCCCTTGGATCATTTTTCGTGCAATGAAGAACTGCGCCACATTAGTCAAGGGGTCTTGTGATCAAAAAGCTCACGAACGATCAAATGCACTCACTTTCTGATCTGCTGAAGGTTGGGCCAATGGTTCTCCGGCGTATTCCTTAATCAACTCCTTGACATCGTCGTCAATGTACTCCGGATGCACTTCTACCTTAGAGACCGTTCCAAATGATCCGCTCTTGGCCGCGTCTTCCCTCAAAAATGGCAGACGAGTACCTGAAGGGAAGTTTCGGGCTGGGTGATCGAGTGAAATTCGCTCCGGCTTGAACATGGCCTTCGCGTGTCGGATTCTCTCCTTAACATCTTCAGCAATGTCCTCCTTACCGTCAAGGGCGTCAATACCCTCATCGGAAAGCAATGTCTTATATAGTCGGTAAAGTTGAGAGACCTGATCCGTATAGAGTAGTACCGCAACGATAATCTTGGGCTCGTCCCTTGGAGCCATAACTGCATCGATGATCCTGGTCCTTTGTCCACCACTGTAGCCTTCTGCTGGAGTCGCCCTTTCTAATACACAGCTCCGACATGCGCACTCCGTCAATTCACGCAACATGTCTCTGGTAACAAGCTCAATAATCGCTGAGCGAGGGAAAAATAGTTTTGGCTCAAGTTCGCTGAGCTTTCCCAGGGGCAAAGGACGAGGATGGGTGCTGCGAGGATCATGGACGACAGGAGGCTCCGCCTTTAGATACAACTTGTAGAGCCACTTTTGACAGGCATTGTCGAACTCGTGGTCTTCCCTGCCTTGACCTTGACGCAAAGAACGGAGTATATCCATTCTGAATACCGTGGAGTTGCGTCTCTGGTCAAGACAGGCAAGGCTGAAAGAGGAAATCTCATGCGGCAACGCAGACCCACCCGACCGGGGTGGTCCTCGTGCTCAATTGCCGAATCCGTATTGTGTTGGAAATGCGCACCAACTTTTATGTTTGGCTAGATTGGTTCGGAAGGGGAGACTCTTGTATATCCAGGATAGACACACGAACGCGCACGAAACTCGCGATAAGGCCTGGGGGTCTTGCAACTAACCGCCGAGGCCGGTGCCAAGACGTCTTCAGCTGTCCCATCTTGCCCCATGTAGCACGGCTGCCGGTACCGGGTAGGGGACATAGGGCGGCAGCATTGTTAGCCCAAAACGGGTTAGGTGCAACACAGCAAACTTGGGTCTTGGCATTTCGATCCCACAACGAAATTCCGGGTGTTTGGCCCTGCGATTTCGAGAAATTGCACGCAACTACAACTTATCGACATCAACCTTCCGATTTCAATTAGACAGTGTCTCTCTGCAAAATCGACAAGATGTCCACCGCCGAGCTCGCCAGCGCTTACGCCGCTCTCATCCTTGCCGACGACGGCATTGAAATTACAGTACGAAACCCCCCGCTCTGAACATTCCGAAATTCGATTGAAGGGACGTGGAACATGAGAGACTGACGCCTTGTGCTCTGCTTTGTAGGCCGATAAACTCAACACCCTCATCAAAGCCGCTGGTGTCGCCGACGTCGAACCCATCTGGGCTACTCTGTTCGCAAAGGCACTCGAAGGAAAGGATGTGAAGGATATGCTTCTCAACGTTGGCTCGGGCGGTGGAGCCGCGGCCGCTGCTCCTGCCGCTGGAGGTGCTGCCGGCGGCGCAGCTGCAGCTGACGAGGCGCCTAAGGAAGAAGAGAAAAAGGAAGAGGGTACGTCTCGACATCGCAAGATTTTACTTATCCCCGCAGCTCGCGAGATGTGAACATTCGCTAACACTGCGTCAACAGAGAAGGAAGAGTCCGACGAGGATATGGGTTTCGGTCTCTTCGATTAAGCGTCTGGTTCGCCTCGAGTTTGTTCTCACAAGCGGCGTTTTCCCTGTCACGACTTCTCCGAGGTCGATCGAAAAGTTATTTCCAAGGCATGCACCAATGCAGATTTGCTTCGCTTTGCTATGCTGGTGAACTGCCTGTGAGGCAGGGAAACAACAACAAGACCAACGAACATTGACATTTTAGGGGGTATCAAAATCAAAAGAAACAAAGTCGAGAACACCGGTCCGGGACGAGCGATGGCCAGCTAAGACTCATGCGGACTTATCCGAGCCAGACAGCCATATTGAAGAGAATTGATACACGAATGTCAATAACTCCAAAAGATTGTTTGACTCTGCTGGATGAACGACGTCCTTGACTGCCTATGAGACGCAAAGAATGTGGCCGTACATGTTGTGGATGATTCTCGTGCCAAACAATCTCCTTGTCAACACTCATCGTGCCGTTCTTGGATTATTGACCAACACCAGTCTCAGCGTCCCACATCGGCCTTCCTTTCCTTCTATGCTCCTTCAACTCTTTTTACTCCATTGGTGAAGAGGATCTCATGCGGATGCTCCCTGCCTCCGTCAGCCTTGTCGATACCCCGCTTGCTCGAATCTCCACACTTCTCCAACCCATGACTGACCTCTCTCAACCCTCCATAATTTTTAAATCATTCCTCCTCTGCTCGTGAGAACTATTTGACCTGCTTCTGACGTGACCGGTCCCGAGACGCTCTAGAAACCCCAAGGGCCTGCCTGGCTCCTGATGAAGACAGAGTCATTTCCACTGCGAAGATGACGTTCTCATTCGGCATTGACCACCTCGAGCCCGCTTTTGACGACCGTGACGTCCCATACATCACCTGGGGCCTCCGCTTCGACGAAGCCTGTGCTTACCATCTCGAGAACACACTCAGAGCCAGCCGCCCCTACATAATCGCCTCTAACTCGCTGTCGAAAAATACTAATGCGCTCAAACGGCTTCAAGATGCCCTGGACGACAAAGTCGTGGGGGTGAGGATCGGCATGACCCCACACACGCATTGGAATGAAGTGCTTGAGATCGCGGCTGACGCGGGGAAAAAGAGCCCTG